ATGTCAAAGGGCAGCCACACCCACTTCTCATCTTCAAACTCTTGTACACAACGGCCTCCTGTACTCTCTACATCTCCCAGTGTCCGAGATTCGACTGCGACACGCGGAATGCATCCCACTATCACGCGTCTCACACGAAGTGAACTAGGGGGCACAGTCGCCACTACCCGCATCGCTTTACCGCGTCTCTCAGCCTCTTGCATCTCAACACCGGTAATGACAGCTGCAGCGCCTCGCAGATCTGTCGAGAACTGGGTTCAACAAGGTCAAGAGGCTTTGCCAGACCTTTTTCAACAGAGCCGAGCCTTCTGCGGATGACGCTATACGTCGCGCACCCAAGACAGTACTAACGACGGGTCAAGGCTTCCAGTGCAGCTTAGTACAGAATATCCATTGTACTAATCAGTTTTGTTCTTGTGCAGGAAGCTTCGTTGTTCGCCCAAGAGTCGTTCACTCTGGTGAGCAGCCAAGACCCACAATGGAAGGAGCACTAGCCGCCGTTTGACAGCTGCTTCTTCCCGTAGCCTGGTCCAACACCGGCCCTACTCTCCCGTCAGAGATCAAGCTGCATCGTGCAGGCTGACGGGCTTGTCGCGAGCTGCCTGCTGGGACCTTCCATGGAAATCTTGTCAGTGCGCCGTGGCCGTCGAGACGAGATCGCTGGGTACTGGTGACTATGTGCCTCGCGCCTGAGCATCTCCCCAGCATCAGCGGTAAGTGGAACTCACAGACGCATCGTATGTTGACTCCAGTGTCCATGTTGTGACACAACAGTAGTGCAGCGGAGTGACACGAGAAGTCTTGTCCCTCCGACCTGCGCCTTCATCGTAGCAACGATGCGGACAGCTCGGTGACCCCTCAACGCAGCGGACCAACGTCCGTCACCGAATGCAGCTCACTGCATACATGTACCCACCATACCCACCTCGAACGCGCCGTGCCCATATTGACGGCTCCACCCGTACCTCATTACGATCACGCGAATACGCTCGGTAGCGCGGCCTCGACGGCCATATACACTCTCGGTTGGAATGAGGCAGTGCTGTCGAGCCGCCTGGGCTTAGCATATACCGTTAGGCTGGACTGGACAGCTGCCAGGCGCAGCTTGATGTACCACAGTGGAGCCTCATGCATGCTGTATGCTGTGTCTTGCAGAACATGTATTGCTACAGCCACGTCGTAGTACAAGGGACAGGGCCTTTCTGAGGATAGATGTCTTGAGTTGTCTGCTGTCATCACAGCGATACATGAATCGTCATGGCAGTCCTTCTCAGTCCTCATTCAGACGATCGGCGCCGTTAGATCGGGCTATCGCTTGAACTCCTCCGCTCTGCCATGCCCAAATGAAGCTATGGAGCGGCAAGAATGCATCACGCCACACATCCGGTACTGAGAGCCCTGGCTACCAGCTGCGCTAGGCTTTGCTGCCATTGCTGCATACGTCGAAGACACGCATCGTGCTGAAGGTACTGGAAGTATCATAGCTCATGTGCGTGTTGATATTGAAGTGAAGCAGCACAAGACTCCCAAGTACCCATAACAAGGGGGTCGCGACTGGAATCTGTTTCCTAGGCACCATGGCACCAGACAATGCAGTCGTAAAGATATTGTAGTGATCATAGACACAACTGGGCAAGGTATCTATAGTGTTTCTCATAACACAATCTAGTACTAGATAGTATTTGACAGAAGAATGTCTCTGACTCCTGGAATGCTCTACTCCCTGAACGTGTATTGGCCACCATATTGTCGCTTACATTGATGAACGTAATCATGTCTCACAGCAACATCACGTTATTTGAGGTCAAACAATGAAGTCCGAGAAGAGTTTAGACAATCCCTCTTTGTTCGATTTTCGGACTCCAGTCGGCCTATATCGTTTCAGACGTAGCAAGACATCACTCTAGCCAGATCAGTCGACGCTCCAAAACCCCCAAATCGAGACGTTGCCCAATCGCAGGTGGACATAGTGTCCTGGTATCATTGATATCATAACCACCGCCAAGCGTAGCTAGCCAGAGACCATAACAAGTCTCCTTCCGATGCCACCAAAGCTTCCATGTCATAATTCATATTCCCTATTCCCCGTCCTTTTGCCTTTTTGTATTCGTGGTGGACCTAATCTGACCAACTACCCTTGCATACCAAAGCCAGGCTCAATACCAGCCTGCTTCAACGCCTTTGCTTTCCGCGAATCCGCCTCTTTCTTCTCTGCTTTTTGGGACGCCGCCAGCGCGCGAACTTGGTCTTCTTCGGCGAACATGGCGCCTTTGGGGTGTTCTTCTCGGTCGAGGTCGACGGTCGCGCATATGGTGACGTTCTCGCCTCGTACGGTCATGACACCGGGGAGCTTGACGTCGTGTATTAGCCAGCGGGGCACGGAGAGGTCGGAGGAGGGCGATGCGTCGGGATTGCGGGCTGCTATTCGCTCGTAGCATTCTGTGAGGACGAGGTTGGCTGGAGAGTGTTAGCTGGGGTATCGATGACGCGGGGAGGGTTGGTGGTGGACGCACCGAATTGGTCGTAGGAGCGTAATATGCCAATGTACTCTTTCTCGTCACGTAATAGCACGTCGACCTTTTCTGAATTGTGTCAACGTCATGTCCTCTCAGACTCCTGGCTAGGTGTGTCCATACTGTCCACCATGTCTAATAGCATTGCCGATGTCAGGAAGGCCTGCGGTGGGAGGTCGACGGGGAGTACAGGGGGCGGCGCCTGCCCTCGTGCACCACCGAGCATGTTTGCATGTTGTGGTGGTGGAGTGGCACTGTATACGCCTTCGTAACCTGGGGCGGTATTAGCACTGCGCCATTGTGCGTGTCGGCGGGGGTCGTGGCTCACCAGAAGACGGCGAGGGCCCGCGTGGAATCTCGGAGCCCGGGGGTTGCAGCTGTCCAGGTGCCTGCATGGAGCGCTGGAGCATGGCGTTGAAGTCCGGGCCCATGTTTGGGGCACCTCCAGCGGCCGCGGGGCCTCGTGGTGGGCGTTGGTTGTAGGCCATTGTGGGAGGTTGCGCAGTGAGTCGGGCGAGAGTAGTGGTGTTGGTTTAGCGGTTGCGAGGGGGCGATGGGTACGGAGCTATCATGGCGAGGCGGCGCATACAATTCTACCTTCACTCGCGTGTTTACGTCGTTGACGCTGCCCGAAATCGCCAACCACTCACGTATGCCAAGCCCCGCTAGTCATGAACTCTGGATGGGAAAGACGTCTTGCATCATCCTAACTTCTATCCATTTGTCGCTACGTCTCATTGCCTAGCTATACTCGCTCATAATACGACCTCGGGAAGCTCCTCTGTTTAAGTTCGGGGTTGTCGGGAAAGAATTCTCGTGCAAAGATACCCATTTGTTCACTGAAGTAGAGGAGCTCTTCTGCGCAGCCCTCAGCATCCAGATCAACGCCGTCTTGAGGAAACATCGATATCGTGTAAATCCCAGTGGACATTCGAGTTCTTCATATTAGACTGTACACAATTCTCGACTTGTTACCCAGTACGTGTCGTGCGGTCTGAGAGACTGGACAACACTCGTGGACGAATCGGAGCTGAGCTACGCCGCAAGAGAGCTCCATTTAGGGCGAGCCTTCTTCCTGCATTTGCGCTCTGTTTCCCAATCATATCGTTCTTTTTTTCAATCGCACTCAGCTCTCAATATATTCTCTGCTACAGTGTGCTACACTTCAACTCATCGGTAGACTATCCACCTTCTTTTCGTCCACGATGGCTGGCATATTCAGAGTCTTCAAAAGTAAATGGATCACACCACCAAAAGAGGTCCATGAAAATTATACTGGCAGGAACATCATTGTGACTGGTGCGACTTCGGGTATCGGCGTAGAGGCAGTCTTCAAGTTTGCGAAATTGGGTGCCGCCAAAGTCATCATCGCCGCGCGCGATGTGAAGAAAGGCGAATCCACGAAATCGGCTCTGGAGGCTCGGCTCGGACGCAATGATCAGCTGGAGGTTTGGGAACTCGATATGATGTCGTATGACAGCCTAGAAGCTTTCGCCAACCGCGCACACGCGCTTGACCATCTCGACATAGCTGTGTTGAACGCTGGTGCTTGGCGAGTGAAGTTCATACAGTCAAGATATGGATGGGAAGAGGACATACAGGTCAACACACTATCTACAACACTTTTGGCCGTTTTGCTTCTACCAAAACTGAAGGAATCTCAACAGCACACTGGCAGAATTCCGGTCCTGGAGTTTGTCAACTCTGGTCTACACCAACGCGCTGTTGTCCCACCAGAAGTCCGGCAAAAGCCCAGCGTACTCGAGCACTACAATAAAGAAGAAAACCACAAGGAGGGTAGCCAGTACAAGTTCTCCAAGGTCTTCCTTATGTACGCTACGAACAAGCTTGCCGAAGAGATATCTTCAGGCGATGTGATCATTACCAGCATCTGCCCTGGTTGGGTCAATACCGACTTGGGACGCGACCGCTTCTTTCCTGGCGTGCACATATTGGCGTTCTTCTTCATCTTCTTGTTCATGAGATCTGCGGCTTCTGCTGCGAACATGGTGTTGAGTGGGACCACCCAGGGGGAGAGTGTACATGGCAGGTTTTGGAAAGAGGACAGCATTCAGCCAACTCCACCGAGCCTGGCAGGGCCTGAGATGAAGGAGCTGAGTGCAAGGATGTGGGATGAGATTATCGATGCACTGGAGAAGGATGTCCCACATATCAGCAAGGCGGTTGATGCGGCATTGTCGAAGCGCTGAAGGTTGGCGGATTTAGAACCTAGAATTAGAGAAGACAAGACTACCAAGAAACTTGATGCGTAGCTGTATGGTGAATTGCAAAAGACGGTGCCGTGTTGCCAGACCCAGGGGCCAGCTGACATGTGGCTGAGACTAGAGGCGCAGGCACCTCCACACATGACGTACCGGCAGCCGAATTGGAGCATCATAGTGCCTAGAACATGCATCGGGTGCCTCGAAGCCTGCGCAATCCCTCGTCCAGCAAAGTCAGACAGCTGCAGCCCGCTGAGTCGGCTGAATGCCCAAATCGCCCTTCCGCCGCAAGCCCGCCGCCCACGGTCCCTCGTCCCTCCTGCGCTTCCTCTTCCCCCGGACTCGAGCACGCGCGCGCCTTCACCTCTCCAAGTTCCGCCACGACACGCTCCACTCGCTCAAGAACAGCGCCAAGGCCCGCATCTACAAATACATCGTCTACCGCCAGGCTGCCAAGGCGCAGGGGAAGCAGGGTATTGTTCAGCGCCTACGAGGCTACACGCGGAGGTTGAGCGGCCGCAGCTATCTCGAAGATGCTGCGAGGCTGCGACGACAGCAGATAGCCACGCGTCCGGGAACTACACCTTCCGGCAACAAAGCAATGACGTACCAAGAGAGCTACGAGGCGCGAGAGCCTGGCACGCGGAGACGGAAGCTGGCGGGCTATCTCAAGGCCGCGAACGAACTCCGGCAGACGTACACGCAGCAATATGCCTCCAACTGGAGTAGCAAGGAGGCACAATATGACTACGAGGACGATACACCAGGCGGATTCCCAGATGCCGCCGTCGTTAGGAGCGGGCGGGAGGAGATGATACTCTTTCCCAGCTATGCCCGGCGACACATAAAGCGGAAGCCAGAAGCACAACCAGGCACCATCCAGGAAACGGAAGGCCAAGGGCGCGACGTTCGAGACTCGACCGGCGCCGGCGACGCCGAATTCTGGAAGCAGCAGTGGAACAACTACGAGGATGACAACGCGGTCGTTGACGTCGATGTCCGCGGCTGGATCTACTCGCCACACAGGGGGCAGATGTCACGCAAGCAGAGGCTGTTTATTGGCCTCGCGCGGCAGTTAGTCGGCGTACAGGCACCTGCTACACCCAACTCATCTGCGGAGAGTAGTCGGGATACGAGTCCGCAACGGCACGGCTTCCGCGAACGAGCCCACCTGCGCGACGCCCAGCAGGACGAAGCCATGGCGGCCAGAGAGGCCGAGGAAATTCTACGGAGGGGCGAGAGAGAGGCAAGAGCTGCAGCACGCGGTGCTTACAGCGAGCGGCCAGCTAAGGACATGGACGACACTCAGCTCTACCGAACAGAGAGTGGGAACAGCACGCGGCCGAACAACGGCAGGACCCACCAGCTCGCTCACAGCACATCCAAGGACTCCATGAGAAGCGAAGCCAGTATCCAGCCGTTGCAGAAGAGAGGGTCCTGGAACCAGCCGTCGGAGATGACCCCATCAGAACTCGCTGAAGCCAACGCTCGGTTGATGGCTAGGCTGCGACACTTCCTAGCGATACCCATGGCCAATACGCCCATCAGTGTCTTCTTCTACAATGAGAACATATCGAAACAGAGGACCGTATACACCGACGCCGCAGGCCATTTCAGTATGAGCGCGGCTTTGGACTTCGTACCCACCCACGTTCGCATCTTGGCATCAGACAAGCTCTCGGCAACCGAGGAAGTAATTGTCACTGCCTCGCAGGGTATCAGCATAATCAGCGACATTGACGACACAATAAAGCACTCCGCTATCGGCAGCGGCGCTCGCGAAATCTTTCGCAACGTCTTCATCCGCGACCTGGTCGACCTCACCATCGATGGTGTCAGAGAGTGGTACAATAGAATGGCGGAGCTAGGAGTCAAGTTCCACTATGTCTCCAACTCGCCCTGGCAGCTATATCCTGTCATCTCCAAATACTTTGAGTTAGCTGGACTACCACCAGGCTCATTCCACCTGAAGCAATACAGCGGTATGCTCCAAGGCATATTCGAGCCCGTGGCAGAGAGAAAGAAGGTCACTCTGGATAAGATCGCAAGAGACTTCCCAGAACGAAACTTCATCCTAATCGGAGATAGTGGCGAGGCGGATCTGGAGGTTTATACCGATTTCGTGCTTGAAAATCCTGGGCGAGTTGTCGCCGTTTTCATCCGCGACGTCACCACGACAGATAGCCCGGGCTTCTTTGATCCTTCCACCGGGTCCTCACCAGGCGACCACTCTTCATCAACACCATCGACACAACGTAACAGTGGTGGTAGCTCGGCAGCTTCGACTAAGGCTCGACCGCCATCTGAAGAGCACGACCCTGAACTGAAAGCTGCCATTGCAGCCTCATTACGTGACATGGATGCGGAGAACAACAAGCGTCCAAGTTTGCCTAATAGGAAGTCCTCTCCGCACACCACATCACAACAAGCTTCCTCGAACAATCTGATAGACCTATCCTCCGACGATGAGGTAAATGATTCACCCGCGCTGAGGAAGTTCAATAGTGAAACTCAAGCCGACAACGAAAGACATCGCTCATCAGTCGCCTCGAACGCGAGTATGAAGTCTGCGCCGCCGCCTCCTAAGAAGCCAGTCGCTCTAAGGAGCCCGTCGACGGAATCATTCAATGCGCAATCCACTTCCAACCCGCGACCGCAACCACCTAAGCCCCGAAAAACCTCAGCGGCTGTCACTCAATCCAGTCCGCTTGCACAGCAAGTCAGTGCTTCAAGAAGCGCAAACACATCAGCACTCTCCAAGCCTCCAGTGGGACCTAAGCCATCTATGAGCTACCAGAGCCAGGCGTCAGAGGACCAGCAGTCATACGCTGGTATGGCTCGCGACAAGTTGTGGTCTGTCTACAGTAATCTACCCGCACTGCGTTCCACAGAGGAGCCCGGTTCCAATGCTTCCAGTCTAGATGTAACTGGTGTTCGCAAAGGCCCACCTCCACCTCCGCCTCGACGCGGAAACCGCGATACAGCTGCAAGCGCAGCGTCTTACGTGGGCTCCAAAGCATCGTCAGCGTGGCAGAACGCACCCTCTATACCCTACCATAGTCGCCCTCAGGCCATCTCTGCGCAAACATCTCAGCCATTCTCTACTGCAGCGCCGCGGCAGGGCATTAACCGCACCAGCACAGGTAGTACCCTAGGTGGTGCTGCAGGCGAGCAGTACGGCACAAAGAAGGAGCAGTTGTGGCGGCAGAGATGGGCACATGCAGAGCAGGTTCTCTCTGAACAGGGCGTAATACTGCGAGTATGGAGGGTAGGCAGCGACATCATGGGCGAGGCAGAAAGAATAGTCAAAGAGGCTGATAAGAAGTTTAAGCGCGACGAGCAGCGAGGCGAGGCGGGGAACGGTACTACTGGCAAAGCGAGCGAACAGAAATGAACGCAGCGTCGTCGCCTTGGACAATTGGTTGTCGCGTTATTAGCGGGTTGCCTGTTGTCACTACACACATGAACATAGCGAGCCGTATTACTATCCTGTTATCTCTCCCAATGCATGTCTCCATCCGCTGCGGACATGCCCCACCAAAAGAGGCCTCTCGAGATACCTCGACTTGGAACCAAGGTCGGTTTTGACTGGTAGCGAGAGCAGCTGTACCATGAGTGTAACTCCCGTGATGCCACGGCAGCCCATTTCTGGGTTGTCGAAATCTCGCGCAGACGCTCACCCGCACACATTCCACAAACGCATCTCCCCCGTATCAAGCGTCACGCCACACGAGATTTAAACTTCCCCAAGTCCATTTCCCTTGCCAAGCAAATCGATAGTGTGCATAATATCGCCCCTGGAAACCGGAAGCGTCGAACCCTCGCGCCTGGAGCCACGACTAAAGAGGGGGTGTGGTACCACGGCATCTGCGCACGTGCATGATTGTTGTTGTTGTGAGATGGCTGGACTACTGCCCATGTTCAGGAGTCGTGATGTCATGGCCCTTGCTAACTGCGTATCAAAACAAAAAGACGCTAGATCCTGCCGCTTGTGCCAGCCTGCCAGGTACATAGTTGGCGACACGCGACTGCGACGCGCTTTTGGATTGTTACCCTGTCTGCCTCTTTTTTACATCAGCTGCTTTACTACTACTACGCACGTTCGCCTGGCATCTTAATTCTCGGTGATAGATATTGAAAATGTATGTAGATTTGGTGTTGTTCTCATATTGCGATTGCGACCGCGGTTGCGATCGCGATGGTGATGATGCGCCGCGTTGTTGTTCGCGCCCAGTACGCGCATTGTCACACGCTGTCGCTGTCGCTGTCGGCTTGAAGTTAGGATATCTTTGAATGAAATGCTGACTATGATGTTCTTCTGCGCAGGCCATCTAGCAAAGGAAAGCCAACGGATCCCAAGTTGAGGGAGAAGGTCAAGGAGGACGTGAAGAACGAGACCAACAAGGACGGTGGTGGCAAGGGACAATGGAGTGCTTGGAAGGTGAGTTTGCGTGGCTTCCTTTCTTAATGTCCTCAACGAATGCGATAGTGCGCATTGCTTCGTGCATAGACTGACGCGATATGTAGGCTAGCAAGCTCTCGAAAGAGTACGAAAAGAAGGGCGGCGGCTACGAGAACGAGGCTGGCAGCAAGAACGAACCGAAGAAGGGAGCCCCACAACAAAAGTCCAAAGGCAAGAAGAAGGCCGAAGAGAAAGAAGAGAAGGAGGAAGAACCAGAGAAAGCGGAAGACGAAGAGCCTGCGGAAGAAGACGACAAGGAGAACGAGAAGAAGCAGGATACCGAAGAAGAGAAGGAAAACAACGAGGCTGAGGAAGAGGATAAAGAAGAGGAGGCCCCTCCAAGCGCACAGAAGCCCAAGGCCAACACTGGTGCGAAGAAGACTGGCGCCAAAGCTGGTGCTAAGGGTGCGGCAAAGTCTGCTGAGCCAAAGAAGGCAGCCGCTCCTAAGGCGAAAGCCAAGGAGAGGACAGAGGGAACCAGGAAGTCATCGAGGGTTGCCGGCGCTGGCAAGCGGAAGACGTATGACGAGGATGAGAATGACGGTGAGGAGGAAGAGAAGCCAACCAAGGGTAAGGCGAAGAAGAGCAAGTCCTGATGATGCGACGCTCTACGTGCATGCTTCTTTGGGTTACTGGTGCGTATCGTGACCGATTGTGTAGTCACAGGATCAATCGAGTGTATCCGCAACCAATATGGAAGGGTCGATGGGTATAATGACAGTTTAATTATTTCCGAGATGTTTACTCAACGCCTTCTCCATGCGATCTCGCGTCTACTCCTTCTAAGCTTACTCGCGCCTGCCTGACCGGAAAGTGCAGGCCCGACGAGATAATCCGCACCGATGAGTCTAGTGTCGACCTCACCACACATTACGCCCCGGCCCCAGTGCCCAACGTGGCTGCAGATTGCCAAGATCTCACACCGATCATGTTGCTGACTGCGAGGTAGTCGGACTCTCCGAGCATGTCGCGATGTTGACGGAGTCAACTTTACCGCCGGGCAAGCGCACCCCGATCCTGCAGTACAAACTTGGAGTCAGCGCTTCTTCTGCACGCACTTTCGGTCTGTTGGTCTTACCAAAGCTCGAAGCCAGCAGTATGCATAGTGCCTGGTTGCGCCGTCGTCATGGGCGTGTAACGAACATAGTCTCGTTCCTGGAACCCGGCTTTTGAAACCACCGTGGCACCACAAGGCGTAGCGGATACTCCCTGGACAACATTAGCCGAGATGCTTTCTCTGAGCCAGTCAGACCTACCAACAGCGCGTCGTCGAGATCTGCTAGCTGAGTGCAGTAGCTCACGAGTCTTCCTGCATGGCCTCTTCGCCAATAACAGGGTGCCACTGCTAAAGTACAGAGGCGCATTTTGCCCTCTAGATGTCTATTCTCCGCTGTCAGCAATCTGCGTCTAGATACGTCAGTTATGCATACTGCAGTTTTGCTGGACGCGTGACTGCGTTGTATATTTCCACAGCTTCAGTACTTTGATCTCTTTCGAGGTCAGGGACATCCAGTCGCTCAGCAACGCCAGCAAGCACGTCTTTGGGTTGGAAATGATGGATATATGCTGATTCTGATTTGAGCTGAATACTGCATACTCCTACGATACTTCTCCGTGTCGGAAGGACCGACTTGAAGGACTCTCGCAACGCTTCGTACACGTGTTCAGACTCGTCTTCTTGAATATTATCTTCTGCAACGAGCACCACGCATGCAGGATCTCTTAAGGCTTTCTCGTACTGAACAAAGTAGGAATATATAGTGTCAGATGGAAATGTCTGGTAATTGACGCGCTGAAACTGGAAAGAAGGCGAAGAAAAGAACGCAGCAGCCGCAACAAGCGAGATTCGGTCCAGGTCATCTAAAGTAGCTAGGCGTACGCCTTCTACAGATGGAAAAAGCATGACTTTGCTCGGCTACTAGCACTGCAAATACGAACTTCGTTCTGGGGAAACATATCGAAGTTCAATATGCAGGTCATTTAAAGCAATGCAATCTCGCAACAGAGTACGCATGCATTCAGGAGAGACATGCTACCAACATCTCTTTGTCTACGATAAGCACGCACTGCCATTACGCATAGTTGTGCATAAAGCGAGTTGAGACATCATACCCGCATTTGTATGTTGCTTGGAATACAGCGCTGGCATTGGACGGGATAAGATCCCGTTGTCGAAAGGTAGGCCGCCTGCCTTGTAAGCGAATTTCCTTCATGGAGGACATCGATACGACTTACAGGTGGCAAACTTAGTCGGTACTACAGCGAAGAAGACGAAATCAATTGCAGCGACCGATAGCGGTAAACAAAGAGACGGCGCAGATGCAGAAGTAAGATGAAGGTTGTGTGTCCGTCTGGTACGCGAGGCAGGTTCGCGGGGAGATGCAGCCCTAACGGAAGCTAAGACATGCATGGCACCGACACAATGAACCAGTGTGGTTCTCGACCTGCCTTTGGTGCCTCCTCGAGCCTTCCTACCATCGAACTCGAAAAGCAACGATCTACCGTACCGGCTTTGCTTTACGGCCCAGGCCGCCATCGTTCCCTGCTACACGGATCTTGCCCATTACTTCTAAGCGAATGAGCGACACGCACCCTCGCGACACGTCCTCTGAAGTTGTACGCAGTCAGCCGCAGCCCTCCATGTCTACCACCAGTTCGCAGTACAGGAATGCCGCCCAAACTCCCTCGCACTACCAGGACTTCCCCACAAGCAACCACGACCCTTTGTATGGCTTGGGCGCATGGCAGCAGCATCATGCTCCCAGCCACGACTCGTACGCTGCCGGCCCGTCAACGGCGCAATTCTTACAGTACCCGGCAGTCGGAGTAGACTCCGCTGGTACGCATCCGCAGTCTGCTCCAACGGCTTGGTCTGGTTACGTCAGACAGGCACCTCTGGAGTGGCAGCACGCTGGACCTGAGCAGAACTACACGACGCGCTCGACCGTCCCCTATTGTGATGCTGAGGGGAGCGCGTCCGTGCCGCACCAAATTCCCACAATCCCGCGCCACTATCAGCACCAACACCAGTACCAGCACCAGCCGGCGCTGGATCTGGGGCACGCATTACCCTTGGCTTCGCAGGATCACGTCTTTCGCAGTACAGAGCGCTTTAACGAGCTGCGCGTTTCGTCAGTAAGTGCACACAAGCAATGTTGTGCCCTGCACTAGGTTCGCGACTAAATCATCCAGGAGTCCCCCGCCAATACGGTAGACCCACCGTACTCGAATCATGCTCAGAAGCTACCTCCAGTCCCACGACTCTCGCATTCACAGCCGCAGACTGTTCTGCTGCACACGAACCACGCGCCACAGGTACCATTGCAGCATGATGTCGGGTGGGAAGCGCATCAGCAGTACTCTGGTCATGTTGGCGACGCTGTTACCACCCGAGCTCCAGATACGAGGCACCATAGCACATCTACTATCCCTTGGCCCATGAACCCCGTCGAAACTTCCAATGCGCCTACTGTTTACGAGCCTCCTCAGACCATGTCGCGGGAATGGGCCGTCGCTGAAGCACCACCTGATCATGAACTTTACGCACGGCAGCCGGTCCCAGTCGATCAGACAACCACCCATTTGTTGGCTCAGCATAGACCACCGCCAAAGAAGAAAGCAGCCAAGGTTCCTTCGTCTTTCGTTGAGCGCCAGGAGAAGCTGAAGGTGTCCAAGCGGAAGGGCCCTCTCCAGGAAAGACAGAGGGAGAAGACCCACACCATGCGCAAGACCAAGCGTATATGCGTTCGTTGTAGATTCTACAAATCAGGGGTATGCATGTCCAACATGACGCAGTGCAAGACTAACGAATGTAGTGTGACGAAGGAGATCCGTGTGAAAAGTGTGAGAAGATCACAGGCCACGCCCGATCCTTTCGCGAGCCCTGTTACAGGGAGCATCTCGAAGACACTAGTCTTATACGTCGTTGTAAGTCATTGCAACATCTGCTGCTTGTTTGCTTCTCACAACTAGACAGGCAATGGCCGCGAGCACCAAGAGGAAGCCGAGTTCCTTGGTTACGACTGGATACACAACAGTCAACTCTACGAGATGGAAATCATCTGGAACCTCCCTGGCTACGGTCCTATACCGAACGCACAGCCTATGCGTATCGCCTTCCGGCCTTATAGCCCAACGCGCGGCCCGCTTGATGTCGCGACGTCCGTCTGGTCCAACCGGGATGGACAGGTTCCGTCTGTCGAACAACCGGCCTACGCCATATACGATACTGCGAATCTCGTTCAGGCCTACGAACGTTACTTCTCCAGCCTTCAGCCAGCGATCGAGGAGTGGATATTTGCTCGCATTCGGCAGGACGAAGTCGCCTATCATACTTACCAGGAGGTGGTACGCATGCGAAGGGTAAACGGAAGCAAAGTCCTCGATCTCGCAATGCGACTCCAATGTCTTTCCGTCGTATCCCAAGGATATGGCTCCGTCTTCTCGGAGAACATACCTGGCATTCGCGAGTACGATTATCGCCGACTCGGCCGTAGCGACTACGAAGCCTACGACCGCAACTCATGCGACCGCCCACTCCCTGGCGCCATAACCCACCAAATGGATGTCGCGGCTGTGAAATACCTTCGCAAACTGGAAAAGCTTTTCGTCAAGGAACTAGTGGCGCTGATTTTCAGACCCAGGATCAAGCCTTGGTATGAGCTCTTTCTGGCATTCTATGTCATCTTCTGGAATCTCGAGTACATCCATCACGGTGCGCAAGACTACATCAAGTCAAAGAACGGCACAGTAAGTGGACGTCACTATCTCATTTTTCCTTTACAGATTCTGACCGCTCTAACTCTGCTAGTTGCTCGAGAACCAGGTCAGCAACGTGGTGACCACTCAGATCAAGAAGTGGGAATTCGCTTTTCCAGTGCTGCTGTACCATTGGCGCTGCATTCTTCGGGGCTACTCCCCGTTCAAATTAGCACGCGACAACCCGGACGAGCTCCGGGAGCGAGGTCATATTGATGCAGAAGGATTCGCATATGTCACAGCCATTGCCAATCTATTTGACCGAAATAAGCCCGGTAAGTTGGTACCGTAGATCCGCTACTGCAAGTCATTTGTTAACCAGCGTAGATCGCTTCCAGCCGCCGCTTACCGGGTTTGCCGCAACGCACTGGTCCACCTCTAGTCAATGGATCGTAAAGCTTTTCAAGGAAGCTGGAGCGTAACGTTCGCGTTTGCTCCGTGTCATGTTGTTCCCCTCTGTTTTTTGATACCCAGTCATTTTGAATGGCATTCGCGAGTCATTTTCTAGCCTGTTTCGCGGGTCGCGGTTTTGTGGAGAGAAATGGGAGGCAAATGTGATGAATATTTGAGTACGTCTACCGTCAGTCTAGTCAACAGGGGAATACTAAATCAGGCCAATAAAAAAGTATGAACACAGGAAAGCGCCGTCATTCTCTGTCATCATTGCGAAACGCATGCCAAATTTGCTCAAGTCATTTCTGCCACCATCTGCGCCTGGGAGAACTTTACTCCGTAAAGTCTAGTAGATACGGAAGTAGCTAGCCGTGGCTCTCGCGTCCGCTGATGTTGCGCCATGGGTCGGTGTCAAAAACAGGGAGACTCTGAGGTCTGCCGGGAG